CCTACACAACTATAAAAAGAAAAGGTGCCTTTTTAGCAAGTATGCACAGAGATTGCTTAGTTATTTCTAAGAAAAAACATCAGAACACCTTACTATTTTTATCCTATATTACAGTCATTATTACTACCTTTTTATAAAATGTAAACCTTTCCTTGCAGTTAAGATTTACAGCAGTCATCACCTTTGTCCACTCCTTACATAATCAGTCCATGGTGACAAAAATAAACTGATTTAATGTACATATTTTATTGAGTAATTACTGATATGTTATGGATAATTAGTTGTGTATGGCAGAAATATGGTCAGAACTGCAACATATGCAGTTGAATGGTAGCCAAAGATTTGCTGAAGAGTGGTTCTGGGTATGGAGTACCAAGAGATCTTGAGGCATCATATATATTCAATCTTGAATCTCCAAAACTATTCCAGCAAGGAGTGCTCACCACTGATAAAGAACAATAAAGCCTGATGATGGATTTCCCAAACAACTGCAGTATTGTGCTTACTTATCCCCATCAGATCTTGTTTCTTAGTATGTCTTGACTAAAGATCAGAATAGAAAGTAAAATTTGGCAAGGCCATTTTTCTTCTACATAACTAGTGAATCATATGACTCGTACTGGTGGTTATTTGATAATTGCACTGTCCTGGGAGTATTTCTATGCTGAATCATGACAAACATGAAATCTATATTTAAAGTCGCTGAAATGGGATGTTATGAAAATTGATCTGGTAATATTTTCAAGCCAGTATATCATAGTATAAATGTGCTGCATACCTGTTTCTAGAAAATTTGCTGCCATGAAAAAAAGAATGATCAGGATCCCCAGAGTGTGGCATTTCTCCATCCGTCACTTGTATACACAACACAAACCTCATGTTGAGATTCTGTTCAATGTACAGCAATTCTCTGCTGGACAGATTAGGAGCCAAATATGATCGTAAACTAGAGGAAGGAGCACAACCACGCCACTTTGCCCCTTCAGAGTCCCACTGTTCTACACATCAGTTTTTGGGGTCATTCACTGCTGACCTCCTTTGTAGAGGATGTGGAGCTATCTCGAACTGGTAGCAAGTCATAATGACATGGAATATGGCTGTTTTTTGGAAGGTCATAAGGATCCTGGCTGAAACGTCCGCTGCTGCTGAGTGATCCCTGGACAACACTCACCGTAGGTTCTGTGATAAAAGAAAGCACATATATTCAACACTGGAAGCAGCACATGCTGTGTTACTTCATTTCAGTCTGCATTACAGAATGTCATCTCCTTTCTACTCCAATATCAAGATTTGTTGTCACTCTGAGTCCTGAAATGCAGGTGTAGAAACAAAGGTTGATATTAAGGTGTTTTGGCTTTGCACTAAGTTAAACCTGCTTGCAGCAGGGCCCTGCTATGAGTGAATTCAGTGACAGAACAAGTGGACCAAAATCCGTTCTTCGTGTGTGGACAAACTACAAAAAAACAAAGCCTAACTTTGGGGGTTTAATCAAGATTTTATAAAAATCCTTAGAAACACAAGGAGGATATTGATGGACTTCAGAGGAACCTGGAACTGGGGACAGAAAAGGAAAATGGTATCCTAAGATATGTGACATAAAATTAGCCCATTAGGATAACAACCACTCCACAAGACCCCCAAGTTTTCTGTAACTATATTAACTACAGTAATGCAATAACTAAGTAGGGCCCTCATCAGTGAAATACTGCCTCTGTGGGTGAAGATGCTGTTTTTTCTGATCAAGAGGAGGATGCACTCACTGCACTCACTTCAGCTCTGTTAAGTACTTGGCAGCCTAATCTAGGGTTGAAAGATGTTGGAGGCAAATGCTGAAAGCTTATTTTAAAGCTGTTTAAAGAAAGGCTTTCAAACCAGGGAAATTCAGAGGTATCTCTAGATTTTAGAACAGAGCTGAAAGTATTTCCGACTCCATTCCTGGGAATTACACCACTTCTCTAAAAAGAGTAAGACTGTTGTTATACCTTTTGAGCAGAATATAGAATGTAAACCCATTGTAATTTTTTTCAGTGATTTTTCAGGTATTTGATTAAAACGAGGCAAAGAAAAGAAGTCCTGTGATGTTTGTTCTTAAACTTCAACATCTAGAAGTAGATTTTGTACTCACCAACTTCATAAACATTCTTAGTAGCTGAAGCAGAGCTGGCAATCTCGGCATATGGGGAGTCCCTGCGTGCTGGTGACTTCATTTCAACATATCCGCATTCTGAACTTTTTGGTAGAAGAGCTGGTGGGTCTTTTATAGTAGCATATGGGTTCTCAGAACTACTTAACGAGCAATTACTTAAATTGTATTCCGAGTTCTTCACTAGATCTGCAAAAAGAAAAACATGTTACTCTCTCAAGCATGCTGCATACTATAGACATTGCTACTAACCAGGGCATTCTTTGAGTTGTGTATAGTCACTCATAAGTGAGTATTTAAATGGAAACTGGTCATAACACTTCAAAATTGTTATACAGCAGTTAATGAAAGCACCTGCTACACTCTTTTATGAGCCTGATTTTGCCATCAGCAAATTCCTGTTGCAAAGTCTGAGCACCTTCAATTCTGGTTAAAACAGTAGCTAGCATTGAATACTGATAACATACAGGATCGGATTTTAATAGGCACTTCCAAATACTGTTTGCCTCCCAAGTGCTGAACTCATGACACTCTTAAAATTAAGTGGTCAAAGACTATTGTTCCCAATAGCAATGCCTGAGCAGATGATAAGGTGACTTCTTGGGGTGGCCAGTTTGGTGCGAAGTTTGAGTATACAGCCACACGAAAGGAGTAACCAGCCTCTTCTAAGTTTCTGTAAGGTACACATAGGAAAACTGAAAAGAAAACATGAGGTGGCTTGTGACTTCAGGTTTTAAATGAAGGGCAGATAAGTGCAGTTTAACAGAAGATGTATTTTCTTATGCCGGGAAGAGATTCTGTGTTTAGCTGTGTTGGCTCTTTTCTCTGTGTTGTTTTGTGATATTGCTGTGTTGTTTAATTTTTAGGGCCAAGACTCTCAGCTCGTTCCTCACTGTGACTATCCAGCAAGAGACTGACCTTGGTGACCTGTCAGTGGAGAGGTGCTCGTAACTTTATGACTCCTTTAAAATACTTTGAATTGGGCATCTCCTAATCCTCCAAAACCAGGAAATGTCAGGTATAATAAATTACTCCTTCAGATTAATTGTCCTGTATTATACACAAGGTGAAAAACCAGCTGCTTTTGTCTACATATTTAACTCATTATTCATATGGACTTAGCTACACTTTTTTCATTGTTTGGATATCCAGGCATTCTGGTCACCCTTGGCATACCTTAATCATATCACAAAAATAGTGTAACACACCCGTATGGTCCAGTATAAAGTCTTAGGGGAAAACTGGATCATTTAGAACATCAACATTGTCACTGTCCTGAATTTCTGAAGCTTTTCATTCCTCTCTATGGGTTTATATTTTAATATTCTTCCCAAAGGCCTGCAATGACTGTAATGAAGCACTGCAGACTTGTAGTCACACAGTTCCACACTGACCACGTTCCAGAGGAATTGAGTCTCTTTTAACACCTTTCATCGAGGCAGGATGCAGCCTTACCTGGCTCACTAGGTTGAATTTAAGGGCTGTCCCCCTTGTGCTGCCTAGAATAGAGCCATTTTGAGGCTCAAGCACTGCAAAAACATTTGATGTATGTTACACACTGGGGACTTAGAAAGCTTGGTTTGTTGGGTTTTTTTGGGTGTTGCTTTTTTAACCCCCACCTCAAAAAAGAAAAAGTAAAGAAACTTCATGCATTGATTTAGAGTCTAGGAATAATTTAGTCCAAAACTATTTTATATTCTCTTCACACAGAAACCAAAGATAATTTAGAAGAGTAAACAGAATGTCTATGTCATTTTATCTCAATGCATCAGTAAATATCCTCACCTTTCAAGGATTTCCCCAAATATCCCCTATCAAGTCCAAAAGCACCTGTGAAAAATGATACAAAAAAACCAGAATATTTTTAAAAACAAAGTATGAGATAACAGCTTCTAATGCTTAAAACTTGCTTTGGGACTCATTTCTACCTTAGCAGAACAATTCTTTTCTAAGCACTCTGAAACTGCCCAGTAAAGGGTTCCAGAAGCATTGTTACTATTTGCTTGCATACTTTCAAACAGTAGCTTCCTGAACAGGGAAATTGGATAAGGTCATAAGGGGCCCTTAAATTATCTGTTTTGACCTCACATATGTCACAGGCCATTGCATTTCCCCCAGTTACTCTTGAATGAGCCTAAAAACTGTTGTTTGATTAAAGCATATATTTTGTCGGGATAAACCATATCTACCAGAACGGCATCCCATCTTGATCTGAAAATCTGCAGGTATGCAAAGCTCACTCCAATTCTTGGTACTTTACTTACAAAGTTAATTACTTCCATTGTGTTGTCCAAGGTCACACTGTTCCAGTGCCCTGACCTGCAGGAATGGCCTAAACACCTAGCACCCAAGTCTACAGCTTTGCAGTCTGCTAGTACAGGATTTCTCTCATGAAAAATCCCAATACAAACATCAGCAGTCAGCAGTGCCTGACAACTGTCTTCAGAGAGCTGGAACTTACCTAACTGCTAATCCGCTCAATAGCTTTGATTAGTATTACGGAGTGCTAATTCTTGAAATTTTGTATTGTGGTACTATGCTAGATACCTGACAAAAGCTGAAATAATTTTATCTATATCATATCCCTATAAACAACACTCACAGTTTCCAATAATGAAATTTTGTTTTGAGGAGAACTAAACCAATTAACTAAACCAACTAATTTTATTGTTGCCCCATCTTTATTTATTATATCCCATGTCAGCTATTGTGTTGTTTTTACCAAGACTAATGTCCAGGTCACCAGTGTAGAGTTACTCAGATAATCCCATTTGATCTTTTAGAAAACATACATAATATCAGCACTCATCCAGTCCTCCAGACTCACTCTGTTACTCAAGATCTACTGCAGTGGGTTAACCTCCAGCAGCATCTCTTAGGAGACTTAAATATTCGTATGAATGCTCTAAGAACATGTAAAGCTGAACATGAAGCATTATGACTGAAACCCTGTTCTAACAAAAACCACAATGCAGATCTGGGCCTGAATTGTGGTTAGACCAAGACTGGGGATGAGCAGGAAAAAAACCCAAAGCTGCATTCTGCTGTTCCATTTCCCAGAATCTAACATGGCTAAGGAAAGTGATTTAATGATTTATACTGGCACTGAAAGTCCCTTTTAAGGCTTTCACTGGACACAGGTACAGTCAGTCCAATCCAGCCTTTTTGGAATGCTTAAGTGTTCCAGTTTGGTTTGGTGGGTTTTTTGGTAGTGGGAGAAGGGCCCCAGGGGTGGCTCTGGTAAGAAGCTGAGAAGCTCCCCCTGCTCCAAACCCAGCCAAGAGCCATAACATATGCAAGCCCTGCTCTGAGTGTGTCTGTGTCCTGTGTGTGTTTGATGAGTGTGAAATTAAATTATTATTTTTTCCCCAAGTTGAGTCTGTTTTGCCTGTGACCTTAAACAGTGAAGAACCCTCCTCATCCTTTGTCTCAACCCATGAGCTTTGTCCTCCTCATCCCAGATTGTGTGCGTGTGTGTGTGAGTTGAGTGAGTGGCCGTGGGGCTGCTTGTTGTCATGTTGGGCCCAAACCACAACAATGAGATTGGGAAACGATAAAAAAACAGCAAAAGATCGCACATGGCAGGATATGGAAACTCTCACCACTTCTCAGTTATTATTCTTCTGTGAGTTACTTCCTCATAGCTTTCTATGAGGAAGTAACTAGCTGGATAGATGATGGTGGGGCAGTATATGTGGTTTATCTTGATTTCAGTAAAGCATTTGACACCGTCTCCCACAGCATCCTCGTAGATAAACTGAGGAAGTGTGGTCTTGATGGTCAGTTAGTGAACTCGCTGAAGGGACGAAGTCAGAGAGGTGTGGTCAATCGGACAGAATCTAGTTGGAGGTCTGTGACTAGTGGAGACTCGCAGGGGTCGGTACTGGGACTGGTGCTGTTCAGTATTTTCATCAAGGACCTGGATGAGGGAACAGAGTGTGCCCTCAGCAAGTTTGCTGATGACACTAAACTGGGAGGAGTGGCTGACACACCAGAAGGCTGTGGTGCCATTCAGTGAGACCTGGACAGGTTGGAGAGTTGGGTGGGGAGAAAGTTGATGAAATTCAACAAGGGCAAATGTAGAGTCTTGCACCTGGGGAAGAACAAGCCCATGTACCAGTACAGGTTGGGGGATGAGCTGCTGGAGAGCAGGAGAAAGGGACCTGGGGGTCCTGGTGGACAGGAGGATGACCATGAGCCAGCAATATGCCCTTGTAGCCAAGAAGGCCAAGGGCATCCTGGGGTGCATTAGAAAGGGTATGGTTAGTAGGTGAAGGGAGGTTCTCCTCCCCCTCTATTCTGCATTGGTGAGGCTGCATCTGGAATATTATGTCCAGTTCTGTGACCCTCAGTTCCAGAAGGACAGGGAACTGCTTGAAAGAGTCCAGCACAGAGCCACAAAGATGATGAAGGGAGTGGAACATCTCCCTTACGAGGAAAGGCTGAGGGAGCTGGGTCTCTTTAGCTTGGAAAAGAGGGGACTGAGGGGTGACCTCATCAATGTTTACAAATATGTTAAGGGGGAATGTCAGGAGGATGGAGCCAGGCTTTTTTCAGTGATGTCCAGTGACAGGACAAGGGGCAATGGGTACCAACTGGAACATAGGAGGTTCCACATAAACATCAGAACAAGCTTCTTTGCTGTGAGAGTGACAGAGCCCTGGGACAGGCTGCCCAGAGAGGTTGTGGAGTCTCCTTTGCTGGAGACATTCAAAACCCACCTGGACACGTTCCTGTGTGATGAGCTGTGGGTGACCCTGCTCTGACAGGGGAGGTTGGACTAGATGATCTTTCAAGGTCCCTTCCAACCCCTAGGATTCTGTGATTCTGAATGCTTGGTCTTTTAGCAAACAGGAGACTTAGCTGGGAAGATGTTCCTAGAATCTCTATCTGATGATACAAATAGCTCAGATGATAAGAAACTACTTTTAAACCATTTGTGTCATTTGATGGGGATTAAAAAAGGATATATGCAACCTGTCTACCTAAGGGTAGAGACCTGCCTTAAAGCAAGGTTAAACTCCTAATCCTGAATCTGACACATGCTAACAAGCCTGGCATTACCCTGAGTAGAGAACCAGGAAAACATCCCTGCTTTGCAATCAATCTCAAAGACAATTAATAACATTCACATTCTCCTTTTAATTTTTTTTGCTTACCAAGCTCATTGAGGTAGCCACCATGTTTCCAGTCTGCAGGCAGCGTTCCTGTGTAGTCCATGACAGTGCCTCTTTTTCCAGGTTCCACATTTTTAAGGTTCACAAATAGATGTTTGTTTTCCAGGGCCTTAAAAGACCTGGTAACAGAGATTTACCCAGACTGCAATCTGAATTGCTTTGAACAGAATGTTTGCCCAGTTGGGAAAGCAAAAATAAACCAAATATGAAACATGAGGGAACAAAGGAAAACAAACCAGAGTCTTATGTACACACAAGCATCCACATGCTTTACCTTTGCCAGAGTCAGCCTGTCCATGTTGTTGACATGAGGTGGGGTAGTGCATTGAGTTAGAGTATGATAACTAGGATTAGAGAAATAGTGACTGTTAGCATTTCCACCATTACTGTGCGGGATGGTTTCTGAAAAGAAAAAGAAAAGAAACCAATAAAAATAATATCCTTCTTAGGATATGTTTTTGTCACTGCTGCACTGATGTCAGGATCTCACTTAAAGAGTTTCTAAATCTAAAAAATGCTGCATTCATTCAAAGATTATTAAAGATAGAGCAGTCACTAGCTAGTCATGTCCTCACTTTCAGCAAAGAGCATCCACAACTGTTATTTGCCAACTGGTGCACCAGCTCACAAGCACCACTGTCATTGTGGTCTGTGGGTCTGTTCTCTTGTGAAAGGCAGTTGAGAGCAGTGTCTCAGTCTTCCTAAAGAGGAAGACTCTTCTAAAGAGGAAGACTCTCTTCTGCCTCTCTTGCCAGGAAGCCTTCCAAGGCAGAACTGCAGACACTCTTTTCAAAATCGAGTATGTTCCTGCTCACAGCAGCAGACCCCACTAATGTGTAAAGGTGAAACATGCACATTCACGTCCTGTTAGGTGCAAATCTGAACCCCTTCAGACCTCAGTTAAAAACAAAGTCAAGAGATGGAGCAACAAATCTAAGTGTCACTTACCTGAAATGGTGTAATCTGCATTGATGACCCTCATAGCAGGGGTGTATGTCACTGCGGGCATATTTGTTTCTTTTCCTTTCTGCTTGTGTCGGTAAATGATGAATAGCACTAGCAGGAAAAGCACAACCAGGACAAGAATGATGATGCCTGCTATAGCCCCTATCTGGTAAGAATCAGCAGGGATGGCAGTACTGGTTCGGCTTAAGCTGTTCAAGTTTCCTACTATAATTACACCAGCTGAAATACAAGAAGGAATTAAAATAAATGACATAAATTCAGAGGCTTATGCATCAGGAGCAGAAAAATAATATTTCAGTTCTAAATCTTTCTTCTAATTTAACTCTTATTAAATAATGTCAAAATAGAACTGTCTCAGAAACCAATGTGAAAACAATCCTAGCCTTAAGGAAAATCATTCATGTTCTTCCTAAAATGAGGGTTTTTTTCATGGAGTTGAAAAAGTGAGAACATTCTCTAGGCAAAAGCACAGAGCAGGTAAAGCACATGTGCATGTTTCAAAGCAGCTTTGGAAAGCACAGCACTGTAAAATATTTCATGCCATCTACACTTGAGTGCTTTGGTTCAATGAACTATCACTGAGGCTTCTAATACTTAAAAAGTCTACAGAACATATATGTAATTTAATAGAATGGATGGACCATTTAAAAACATATGCCATATTGGATCAATTTAATTAATGACACAGAGCTGGCATTTAATACATTAATCCTATTTCTATCTAAAACCATTACAATAATTTCATTGCACCTAGGCTTTACCTTGATCACACCTGGCCCCTTTCCAGCCTGGGCTGCAGTAACATGTTCCTGTGATGTGGTCACAGGTTGAGTTGTTCAGACAGTCACATATCTGCCGGCATCCATACCCATAGGTACCTGGAGGGCATTCTGCACAAAATAAGCATAAATAGAAATCAGACACAGTCAGTACTTAAATGTTTTGATCTTGCAGATCTACAGCACCATCCATGCTGCTGTTTGTGTCTAACCCCATCCGTTTTTCCACATGGCCAGCAGATGGCAATGTGTTATTAGTGGAAGACCTCTACAGAAAAGACTCTACAGAAAAGAGGACGTCCCCGTGCGTGTGTGTGTCCGTGTGTGTGTGTCCGTGCAGGAAAGAAGGAAGAAAAGGAGAAGGAAATTCTATTCAGAAGTTATTTTCCTTCGCCTGTTAATGTTGCTGCCTCTAAAGTAGTGAGATTAGGAAGGAAAAAAACACAATATATATTAAAAGAGTAGAACGCAGTGAAGAAACTGACAAAATGTGACTAAAGTTCCAGTTCCATGCCAGAATATCAGATCTTCCTGGTTTCTTACACCCCAGTGCTTGAAAAATAACATGATCATGTGAGTGGAGCCAGACATCTGGCTGGCATCATGTCACTCAACAGATGTGCTGATGTGCTAAGGGAGCAAGAGAGAAGGGCCATATGAGTGGGTCTAATAAACACCACACATTTATATAAAACCAAAACAGATCATAGGCTGGTTGTAGCATATTTTGATACTGTAATTTATACACTGATAAACTACCTGCAGGAGAAAATCCTAAATTTTGATGAATAAGCTAACTGGAAGAGCTCTACATGATTTCTTCTCTCCTAGAATGATTTGAATACAACAATTAATTACTGTTCAAAGTGTCTGGTACATCATGTAATTAGCATGGTAGAGAATTACCCTACATTGATAAAAACTGTTTATTTTATACAACCACCTCTGTTACTGTGGCTTGATATGTTATTGTAGTACTGATGGTTTTCAGGAACTGTGGTATTTCCCCACCTTCTGAGACTCAATTTTCTGAAATCACTCAGGAGTTCTTTAACTATATTAATTTGTTTTTATGTTTTTCTGTTTAAAATAATTTAACTCATCTGTTATGTATTGCTGATTTAGAATCATTTACAAGATAATGTAACCCTGCAGGTGCCAAAGAAATGTTCCTGCAGCCTTGCTGAATCCTGATGCAAGTGGAATGTCAAGCTGATATGCCTTTTCCTTCTTTTGCTTACATTCAATGAAACAAATTATAAGTACTGACATCAATGGCTGGGCAGAAATCATCACACCATAGTATTCTGGCATTTTGAAGTCTGATTTGGAAGGAAAAGTAATTTTTTTACAACTGATGTATGTGTGTGTCCGTTCAAATTCAGAAATACGAAAACATGTAGTTGAATTCTTTAAAATCATTATTATTAAAGTCTAGGGAAAATATTGATTCTATAAAACATAATAGTAAAGTTAGATTTGCCAAAGTACTCAAAATTATTTCTTGGTATCATGACATCAAGAGAGGCTCTTAAAAGTTTATCTTTTCCTAAACATTATTATTCAAGTGAAAGATTGAAATCATGAGAGTAGAATAAGAAAATGTAAATAGCTAAGAGTTACACGTTGCCAGCCATTATTTCATTGAAATGAACATATTCCTCTAAACCATTATGATTTTTATTGCAACTGCATTTTTCTTAGGAAAACAAAATCCACTTCAAAAATTTTACAGGTTCTGCCATAGATGCTGATAGTCTTAAAAAGGTAACTCTCATAGTAGCTGGGGCTAGACCCACTGCTGAGGGAATAAAGTGTGTCTATAGCGATGGTAACCTCCCCCCCTTCTGTTCCAGTGCTGCCAGGTGTGACACATCCTATCTCAGCCCTCCAGATCCAGGTACAGCTACATCACTTCTGGTTTTATGTAATATGCAGTGTCCTCCACACATCAAAAGCAAAGCCCTGTGCACAACGCTGGTGCCAAAGCCACGTTTCAAGCTTCACCACAGCAGGTTGATTGGATTGCTTTGCAGTGCAGTATAATGCATGAAGTGTGGGAGCACCACTCTGTAATGTTAGCAGAAGCTGGACTAACAGTTGGTGCTTATGACCCTGATTATTCTTTTAATGTTGTACAGTGTTAGACCACCACTGGCATCAGTGGTGGTATTCTTGATTTTCTTGGGCAAATAACTACACACATATGAAAACAAAATGCCATCTCTTAAGCTTTTATAATCCATTTGCACTGTAAAACCACATTGCAAAGATTAATTTTATCGACCAGGATTGATGTGGCACTTCTTTAGTTTTCTAACTGTTAGTTTTCATTGTGGTTTACACTAATGACGATTACTTGGATGTGTGTGTTAAAGCAACTACAATGTAGTACAAATGCTTCTTTTCACGTAACTACAAATTGAAAGAAACAGCCATCACAATAATTATCAGTCTATATAACTAAATCTGTGGGCTTTTATCTTCGGAAAAAGCCTAGGTCCGATTCCTGAAACTCACTCCCCATCAAAACTCCCACTGAAGCCAGGAGGTTGTGTTACAACGCTGGCCAAAAGCAGAGGGTCAGCTCAGGCAGGGTTTGTGTTTGCTACCAGGCAGGAAGAATCCCCATCCCGACTCACTCTGCTCGCAGTGCTTCCCCATGAACCCGGTGCGGCAGGTGCACTGCCCGCTGATGTGGTCGCAGTCGGCTCCATTCTGACACTGGCATATCAACGTGCAGTCCTTTCCATAGAACCCTAGGGGACATCCTGCAAATACAAGGGCAGGGAGGGGAAAAGGGGTTGAAACCGCCACTCTAGAAATAAAAGGCAAATATTCCGGTGAAGTATATTCTGGAGGAGTAATTTCTTTAGCCCCTCTATTCAACATGGCTTTTTGTAAACACAACAGAACAAAATCTACCCTGTTTTAAGCAGTTTAAAGTACATATTAGGCAAAAAATTACATAAAAAGGAGGTTAGGAAATTGTGCAGACAGCAGATGCTCAGAAGGCAGCAACAATGGCTCTTAGAATAAATGAGTTTCAGGTACTTGAAGGAGGAGAAAGAGGGCAGTTTGTGAACCAGAGCAGGGGGTCTATTCAGTGATGAATGAATCTTTGGGTATAGTTTCTGCATGTTTATGTTGAAGCATAAAAAAACCCACCAAAACATATTTTATCTCAGCTCTTCTCAAAGATACCATTTCAGTATGAAGAAGGCATACCACCACAAAGAGGTCATTATTCACCAGCAGGAAGCAAAATAACCATGATAGATGACAACTGAACTACTATAGTGTATGTCTTCCTGAGCTGGATCCATATGGCCCTATAATGCATTTGTTATTTCCTGCCATTATGACTTTATTCAGTTGAAAAAGTAAAGAGCTCTGATTTTATGAAAAATGTGTATTCAAGCACAGAATGCAGAACACAGTTAGCATTCTTATTTTTCTTGAGTTTAGAGATAATGTTTGCATCCAGATTAGAGACAGGGGGGGTGCCTGGATTGAAGATAAACCAAACTGAAGTTGTAACATGATAAAGGTAAGAAGCCAACTTTATCAGTAACTATCTCTAACAAATGCTTATTTCTCAAACTATTTATGAACCCTTACCTAGCATATATTGAGTGCCATATACTTGCACACAGGCAGTGCACTGCTTGTATTTTTATTTTAATAATTTGGAAAAAACCCAAATTAACATATTAATTACATTAACATATTAATTACATTAAGAAAAATTCAAAGTAAGTTATAACACTACAGTCTAGTGAATTTAAGTTTCTAAGTTACAAAAAAAATAGCTTCTGTGTTAGAACTTGAACTACAGGTGCTAACACTGTTGTTGCAGTTGCCCCAGGAAGCAGCAGTTACAGACAGGAGATGATCTGTATGATCACTTTGCAGAGACAACAGGGGCTGTGCCACAACAGACCACAGCCACTGCTAAGCTAGACACTATTCTCATGGCTTTAGTCAGCTCTGTGTTACCTTATAATCTTGGTTGTTGGGTCCCTATAGCTAGAGTACATCCTAGTAAGGTCTAAGAGAGAGGGAATGAGACAGCACTGTCATCCCACCCTGTGGGGAGTGCCTGCAGAGGAGACACCATCCGTGCTACGGACAGCAGCCGTGAGCACACAGCTGCAGTGGTAGCATCTGAATGTCACAGTCATTAATTCTGCAGGTGCACATAACAGACTATGCTACAGGGGTGCCCAACTGCAGCTGAAAGTCGTCTTCCTCTGAAGGAAGGCTAAGGAGGAGCATGAGTGTAGTGGCCAGCACTCTGCCGGTGCTTATACAAGGGCCTCACCTGCGTGCCTGGATTGAAGATAAACCAAACTGAAGTTGTAACATGATAAAGGTAAGAAGCCAACTTTATCAGTAACTATCTCTAACAAATGCTTATTTCTCAAACTATTTATGAACCCTTACCTAGCATATATTGAGTGCCATATACTTGCACACAGGCAGTGCACTGCTTGTATTTTTATTTTAATAATTTGGAAAAAACCCAAATTAACATATTAATTACATTAACATATTAATTACATTAAGAAAAATTCAAAGTAAGTTATAACACTACAGTCTAGTGAATTTAAGTTTCTAAGTTACAAAAAAAATAGCTTCTGTGTTAGAACTTGAACTACAGGTGCTAACACTGTTGTTGCAGTTGCCCCAGGAAGCAGCAGTTACAGACAGGAGATGATCTGTATGATCACTTTGCAGAGACAACAGGGGCTGTGCCACAACAGACCACAGCCACTGCTAAGCTAGACACTATTCTCATGGCTTTAGTCAGCTCTGTGTTACCTTATAATCTTGGTTGTTGGGTCCCTATAGCTAGAGTACATCCTAGTAAGGTCTAAGAGAGAGGGAATGAGACAGCACTGTCATCCCACCCTGTGGGGAGTGCCTGCAGAGGAGACACCATCCGTGCTACGGACAGCAGCCGTGAGCACACAGCTGCAGTGGTAGCATCTGAATGTCACAGTCATTAATTCTGCAGGTGCACATAACAGACTATGCTACAGGGGTGCCCAACTGCAGCTGAAAGTCGTCTTCCTCTGAAGGAAGGCTAAGGAGGAGCATGAGTGTAGTGGCCAACACACTGCCGGGGCCTATAACAAGGACTCACCTGCC